CGGTGACAGATGTTACCCGGTCTCTAGGTCCTACTGGACCCGATCATTTTAAGGGCCACTGCTCCATATCAATATGACATACCCCAAAACCTTGTAAACACTATCAATAGCGCAAAATGACAAAATGGCACACCTGGAACATTCGCGATTAACACGCGCCAACGGGTATTAAGGCCCGTTATCACGCGTCCAACCAATTAAGGTAAGTTCGTTCAGTGCATTTTGTACTAGAGCTCAGAACAGTCGTTCATCCTTGTGTGTAGGAACCGTGGTTCAATCTGTTAAAATATTGTACATTGTATTTGTTAATGACTCGTTTACTGAACTGCTAGTTTTGTCTAGTATTTTTTTAAGGTATAGGACGGCTGGAATTTACTCAAAAAGTGACCAACAGGATTATTATCAGAAATCTTTCTTTGAATCGATTAATTTGACTGATTTCAGGAAATATAGCGTGTGAGGACGAAATTTGCATTTCGTGGTCAAAAAGTTGCTCATGGTTCCTCGTTGTTTTCTTGAATAGTATAATATCCACTAAGCTGAAACTTCATCAGATTAGGTTTCTAACTATTTTCTTTCGAAGGTTCACGAAATGAAGTTTACTCTATAGCGCCAGTAGGGACAAGAGTTCAATCCAACACACACACAATAAATGCAACTGTAATCGACTTATCGGGTATAATGGGAGACTTTAATGAACAAAGTGGAGGCGCACATTGAGCGATAAACGATAGAACAAAGACAAGCAGGTCGAAGGTCGTGAACGCAAGAGGGCGTAATCATAACTACTGGCGTAGGAATGTTCTACCCCTCTTATAGAAATTATTTGACACCCTTTTGATTTATTTATTAAAATTTTTTTTTTTCATTCTTTCAACGCCAAAACACCATGCGGGTGCTGTAATGCCATTTTAATAAAACACTGTTCAGTTAAGGTGTTTTTCTGTTCAAAATGTGAAACCCCAAAATTCCTCATTGAAAATATTTGTGAGAAATGCTTGCTCATTGTCTTACTGCTGCCGTGTACAGACAGATAATACAACGACAAAGGTTTCTGGCTGAAATGACATCACACATTTGTTCATGAATATTGACATTTGCACTTGCATTGCCATAAAAACCAAAAAGGCACTAAAATGTCTTTAACATGGCAAAACGAAATTTGGACACACGGATTGTAGTAAACAATTTTATCGAACGGCCCTTTCAAATTTTTTTGAGGTGTTAGTATTAAGAAAAGAGGAAATTGAATGACAAGCAAATGTTTGTATGGTTTATGTGTAAATCTAGGAAATCCTGAACCCCCAAAGGAACTTCAGCCGTGGTACGTAACAGACTCACGCATCTCGGTCCAATGGGAGTCGGGATACGACGGAGGCGAGGAGTTAGAGAATTTTTTTTCCAACATTCGCAAGATTCCTGATGTGTTCGACCCACTTGACTGGATCTCAAGCAGGCCTGATTATAATATGATAACGTACCGTGACCTGCAACCGGACACACTCTACCAAGTAGCAGTGTATGCAACCAACAAGCATGGCTCCAGTCCTTATGCGACTCTGACCGTGCGCACAAACCGTGAGTAGCCACAAGTCCAAAATGGGAAAGTCACTGGTAGCTTTTAATGTTATAGAAGACCTGGCACCCGGAAGTGTTTTTAAATTACAGTGTGCACAGAAATTTTGAGACATTTAAACATATTCTTGATGTCCTGGTATTATGTATTATATACCCAACTATAAGAGACTTCAAATCAATAAATGCAAACAACAACGACGACGCCGCCGCAGCAGCAGCAGCAGCAGCAGCAGCAGCAGCAGCAGCAGCAGCAGCAGCAGCAGCAGCAGCAGCAGCAGCAGCAGCAGCAGCAGCAGCAGCAGCAGCAGCGAACAACAACAACAACAACAACTCAACAATCCACTAACCCACCCACCCACCCACCAACCCACCAACCAAGCAACCTCCGTTAATACATGTGTATACGCACACAATGTTTGAACAGTGCCGGGCCCCTATGTTCAGTTTGGGTGAAGATACGCCCCCCCCCTCCCGTCCCCAAAACATTATTTTTTTGAATGTACCAAACTTCTTGCCATCAGCTATAAACGAATACAATCTGCTACTGACCTTCGAGCTTACTTACATTTTTGTTCTTCCATTTTGTGACGTTGCAGCCGGATCTCCGGATGAAATGGGTAAGTGTATAATGTAGATCTCAATGCTTGACCTGTTTGTGTGCCAGTATGCTCTTTTATCCAAATTTCAGACACAACACTTTTAAGCTAATAATGTAAGAAGTCATTATTACTACAGAAAATAGTACCTTGGGAAACCTTCGCATAGACTTAGACGTAGAATTTCATTGGGTCCCTTTTAGAAATAATTACTGAGAATAATATAATGATGTTAGTTCACTGTACCGTTAGAATGTCAATAGATGTACACTAAAACATTTTCAAAGTAACGTTTTTATAATAATTGCATCCTCTCTCAGGTACAACAGTGTCATACATCCAGGCACAAGGTAAGTTTGTCATCACCGGTATACCGGAAGACGAAGATGCCGGAACCTGCCTACGACTTGAGGTATATGACGAAGCTCAAGGGGAATGGGTGAGTCTGAGGCCAGACCTGGACTGCATTCAGCATGGCGGGGAGTTCCTGTACTCCAGCCCGTATCCCACAGACCACTTCCACTGTCTCTACTGTCGGGACGACGTGTGCGGTTACTCGTCTCATGTTACGATTGGTAAGTTATGATGTGCGTTTGTGTACACATGTCTATTGGGAAAACCATAAAACTTCTTTTCTAATCGCGGACATGTAGGTCTACACAAGTGAGAACAGTCCTCAATTGCTTATTTGCAGAACAAATTCTTTTATATTTTCTTCCACCAAGAGTGATTATGTGCAGCAAAGTTTACCTGAGAAACAAATAAATAATTACATTACAGACACACTCTCGGAAAAAATGGTCCGGATAACATTGTTAACTTATTTCTATTGATGGGACTGCGGTTTGGCCGAAGTCAATTGAGCGTGATCGGCTGACTGATAAGGTTTTACGTACAAAACCCCGAGCCAACGAGGTTTTTGTATAGAAAGCACCCGGACCACATTTTGCGAGAGTGTGTCCGTAATGCTTGAAGCCTGCCGGTAATGCTGAGCCTGCATACTGCCAAAGTTACCAGTGGCATCCCTACATTTTCTCCTGCAAATAGGACCCATTTTTGGACCCTAATTTTATCAAATCTGCTCTTAGATAATAGCCCAAAAGCTAGGGAGATGATCCTCGGCTATATTCGCACGATTCCACCGATTTTAAAACTAGACGGTCTCGGTTTTTACAAAAAATTGTGGGGCACTTTTTGTGCAAATTAACGACTCGGACGCGTAGAAATTTTTGAAACCCTAATCAAAATTATTGCGCCCGCTGTCGGTCTTATTGCGACATTCTGATATATCTTCTGTCTGGCACCCCCCCCCCCCCAGCCAGCCACCCCCCACCACCACCACCACACCAAAACAATAATAGTAATTAAATACTGTTAAAAATGTGCTCGTTTATTCAGAAATTCATGAAGCATATTCAAACTGATTGGATTTTTCCAAAGTGTTTTTCCCATTTGCAAAAGTTCTTTTTAAAAGCCCATCTTGAAGCCTGTTTGTAATGCTGAGCTTGCATACTGCCAAAGGTACCAGTGGCATCCCTACATTTTCTCCTGCAAATAGGACCCATTTTCTGACCCTAATTTTATCAAATCTGCTCTTAGATAATAGCCCGAAAGCTAAGGAGATGATCCTCGGCTATATTCGCACGATTCCACCGATTTTTAAACTAGACGGTCTCGTTTTTTACAAAAAATTGTGGGGGCACTTTTTATGCAAATTAACGACTCGGACGCGTAGAAATGTTTGAAACCCTAATCAAAATTATTGCGCGCGCTGTCCGTCTTATTGCGCCATTCTGATATATCTTCCGTCTGGCACCCCCCCCCCAGCCAGCCACCCCCCCCCCACCACCACCACCACACCAAAAAAATAATAATTATTAAATACTGTTAAAAATGTGCTCGTTTATTCAGAAATACATGAAGCCCATCAACCATTACAGCCACACTCTCGGAAAAAATGGTCCGGATAACATTGTTAACTTATTTCTTATGATGGGACTGCGGTTTGGCCGAAGTCAATTGAGCGTGATCGGCTGACTGATAAGGTTTTACGTACAAAACCCTCAGCCAACGAAGTTTTTGTATAGACAGCACCCGGACCACATTTTGCGAGAGTGTGTCCGTAATGTACTTTGAAGTCAATTGTACTGATACTTTTATGGCAAATTACACCGATCAGTAGTAGCAGGGACTAAACCATGTTACACCTATGGATGCCACAATAATGGAATGGCCCTACAGTCACATTAAATCTACGCATTCTCTCCACTTTCATTCACAAACTGTTTCCATGTACCAAAGTTACACCGACTCCACAGCCCACCCGTCCCACAGGTGATGCTAACAGCAATCAAGTGGTGATCATAGCTGTGTGCGTGGCTGGGACCATTATTCTCCTGCTAGTGACCATTGCAATGTGTTACATCTGCAAGTGCTGCAGCGGTAAACCTCAAGGTAAGTCAAATGAAAGGAAAAATTCATTTCAAAGTCGTAAAATCATAAAATCAATTTCAATAAAAAAAGGACCATGTACTGACCATTATTGAAATATATCGCTTTGTTTTAGTATTTTTTTTCATGGAATCATTATGCATGAAAAATGTGACTCGGAATAAAACAATAGTCGGGGAGTGTTTCTCTATTCGAAAAAGATATCAAAAGTTAAACATGAATCTTTCCAATGTAAATGGTGCAGAAAACTAAGCCAGTACACAACTTCCAACAGATGAAAGAGCCCCCTCCCCTCGAAAAAAGGTAAACACATTCTGGCTCATACGCATCTTTGTGAATCCAAATTGTTATTGGAACCTTTTATCTGTCCTTGTGTTATAGATGAAGTGCGGAGGACTGCACCACAACCAAATACGTAAGTAATGAAATGCCATTTTATTCGCATGGACAAAAGTTAGGATTATTTCAAACAGGTACAGTGTCTACCACACGAACAATACTTGATAATTAGTGTATTGATTAAAACGTGACACAGAATACGGTATGGTTTAATCGGAAAAGGGTGGTGTTCTTTTTGGAAATTGTTTCCAAGAGTTGTGTGCGAGCAAAGATTTTAGGTGTAAAGTATCACGCATGGTTTGCATGGTTATGAAATAAAATTGCTAGTTTGTCCAATGACTTTACATCTTATCAGAAGAGTGCATAACTGCCCACTTTCCCTAGGCAAAACGTTTCCTCATTTTTTGTTATTTTGTAAACAACTTTCAAGTACATTTCAGAATATCGAGTCCTCGAAACTTAACGTGCTACTGTTTGTAGTTTAGCCTCCACATTAAAAAAAAATTGATCGGCATCCATACCAGCTCGATAGATAGCACGCTTGTAGGGTGAATGTTTGAATGGTTATCAGTGTCGTTGATTCGAGAGGCATCGTTATCGTTCTTTTCCAAGTAACTCTTGGGAAAAATGGCTTGGTGACAATTGCAGACTGCATGGCTGGCTTATGAGACTAATACCTCCGATGATGGGTCACTGGCTATAGGTCGGCTGGCTGGCTTATTGGGCGGCTGCCCGATTCCTAAGCTAGCTAGTTGGTCATTGACAGGCTATGGCTAAAACTTTTTTCGCAGCCGGCATGGAATCAAGACCACTCACATTTCTGCTTTATAGTGTCCCAGCCACATGGTAGGCATGCCCGAGGTCATCTATCACTTGATCCTATTTTGGACCATGGTACATCAACCAGAGGGGGTGTCACTTGTCAGGCCGCTTGCTCAATATTGGCGGAAAACCTAATGGGCTTGTTCACAAATACATAGGCTCGTATACAATTGCCTCTGTCCACATGGATTGCCATTGATCGCCTCTGCTGACAAAAAGGGAACAGTCTTGATATTATTATAAGATGGAATTTTTGCGTCGGGATGATATAAATCAAATTAGGTTTTTGCCCTTCACCGACGTTAAAACACTGTATACTCAGTGTGTTACCTCCCGAGTGAAAGTTGGAAAAAATCACTCGGGTAGGACTCGACCCCACGACCTCCTGCTTCTAGTGCTTATGTCTTACCACTCGACCACCGAGCTAACGGGGTGATATTTATAAAGCGCACGTATCCACCAGGACTGGTGCTCAAGGCGCTACATCATTATTACCCCTGCTCATTTGGCACATAAAACATTCCAAATACCATCTCAGCTCCCTAGGGAGTATACAGCTCGATGCAGCAAGGAAGCTTATTCAATCACAATAACCATCTCTGCCCTCACAGGTACCCATTTACTCCTGGGTGGAGAGAAGCAATGAGTGACAAAGTGCCTTGCCCAAGGGCACACGCACCATGACCCCGCCAAGACTCGAACCCACAACCTGCATCTTTACCCGCAGACCACGAATCAGTGCCCTTAACCACGATGCCACAGTACTCCACAGTGAGCAAATATCGGGGGTGGGGTGGGATAGGGTTTGTGGGGGGTACCCCCTTAACCCCCTTCCCCCCACCAATGCAACGCCTCTCGTCAGATATAATGAATGGGTGGAAGGGGTGCTTGCTTTTTTATTTTTATTGATGGGTCCAGATACTTTAGGGTCCAGAAACTTGAGCATTTTGTCGTTTTTTACTCTCGTTAAATCAGGACAGTTGAAGTATACAACCCTTCGTACGACCCGCCTCCAACCTACGTGCAAGCAGTTGGTAAGAAGGGCCATCCTGGCCACCAAAATCGACCCACTTTCGCCTCTTATGTCTTTAATACATCGGTTAACAAGGGAATACATGTGTGCTTGGCCGGTTTGAAACACTATGTTTAAGACCGGTTTGGAGACTGGACGCTGATAATGACTCGCGTCTTAAACATGGTGTATAAAACCGGCCAAGCACAAACTTATTTCCATCGATAAATGCCCTTCTGGTCAAAGAGTAAAAACAAAAACACAATATAAATTTCCAACGATTTTGTTCAAGAATTTTACTTCATGTCTTTCAGAAACATATTATCCCTCTAGCTATGTTATGGTATGTGCTTCTAGCGAGTAGTCCTAAGCAACTCCTTATATGGAGAATAGCGCGCGCTTGACGTGCACTGCGCGATGTGGCACAACTGATTATCCTCGTAAATATGCTAATCTGACGGCATCAAATTTAAAACCCTGTCAAAGTAAATGCCTTTCAGTTTCCTACAATCATAATGCACGCGCTTGCCTAAATAACTGATCCAGCTTTTCTCAATCTTCACTTTTGGAATGTAGAATTGGAAGCCAATGCTGGCAAAAATAACGATGACCCCCCACCGGCGTACGATTGTGTGCCATCTCACGAAGCCCCGAAGGTTACGGATGAAAACGAAGAACAAGTCTAGTTGCCTATTCGACCGTACATGGAGCAAGGGAGACACATATGACAAAATGCAGATGTTACCCTAGGGCGTCTTACACCTATACTTTTTGAAATACTGTGGTAATTGATTTCAAATTTGGTTTCCTCTCACATTTTCCATAATTTCCTGGAATGTCTAACCATTTAATAATTGAAATATTTCCCATGCGTTTTTATACAATTTTTCTCCAAAAACTACAACAAAAACAAAACAAAAAATCCAGGAATCAAAATTTCCTAAAAAAGGAAGGAAATACGAAAACAAATGATGTATATAATTCCGAAATTCTTATTTATTTTAAAATTCATTTTTTTTGGGTTTAATTTTCGTATTTAATTTTCTTTTTTTTTATTTCCTTGCAATAACCATGCAATTCAGCGTCCAGCTGCGAATCGGTCTAATAAAATGTGAATATGAGTATATATGAATATGAATGTATACATCTTTATTAAAATGTCCTTGCATTATCTATGATTCTCCCAATGGATGAAACGTATTGCTATTTTTGTCTTGTTTACAATATTAAAGGGTTTCTGATTTTCAGTAACATATTTTTCCCCCATTTTGCTGTCAATTTAATGCACGTAAACAGCATGAGCGTCCGCAGGGGTGTCAATGGGAGTGCAAATGTACCAGTATACCAGTAGCATAGTGCATTTATTTCAATGCTGTCCTTGGAAATGTACATTGTCTACAATAAGTAGAAATACAATATTACAGGTTCAGTTAATATCAAATTATTACACAAAGGCCAACATTTAGGTTTGGGTGAAGCACAATTTTTTTGTTCCCTAACCTAGGAACAGACAACGGGACAGACAGGACAAAGGACTACAACAGCAAATGAGTGTGCGTGCAGGTACTAAGACGTAACAATACAAAATAAATTAAATGATAAATTTATAAATATGCATCAAGAAGTTGTTGTTTCAGTTTTTTGACAAAATTTTGACAATATTTAATATAGTCTGTGATGTTGCTTTTTTTCAAAGATTCACTTAGACTGTTCCAGTAATTAACACCACATTGAATAAGACTGATTTTAAATAGGACGTTAGACTGTAACGAACATGGATTATTTTCTTGAAGCACTTCGAGTATTGTTCGAATGTATGTTTGATGATAACGTAAAACATGTGCTAAAATAACCAGGTAATGCATTATTAATGTACTTATAGATACATTTACCTAAATTTAAGTAGTAGATGTCTTTAATTCGTAACAATTTTATATTTGCAAGTAGGATCACAGTATGAACACGGTGGCCAGCATTAGAAATGATGCGAACAGCTCGCTTTTGTAACAAAAAAAGTTTGTCAAAATTTATTGAGGAACTACCCCAGTTTAGAAATGAATAGATAAAATATGGGAGAACTAAAGAATTATAGAGCATAACTAAAATGTTGCTTGGAATGAAGAATTTTAAGCAATTCATTATACCAACAGTTTTTGATATCTTGCTCCAGATATCACTGATGTATTTTTTTCCATGTAAGATCTTCATCCATTCAGTGGCGTAGCCAGGAATTTTTCAGTGAGGGGGCGCTGGGGGTGGGGGCGCTGGGGGTGGGGGGTGGGGCTGGAACATTTCAAGGGGGGGGGGCGTCATGTAGATCAATGATTTTTTTTTTAGAAACTCAAAATCTCAGTGGGGGCGACTGGGGGGGGGGGGCGACAAGGTTTCGGGGGGGGGGGCTGTCGCTCTCGCCCCCATGCGCCCCCCCGCCCCCCGTGGCTTCGCCTCTGCATCCATTGTCACACCAAAGAATTTGGTAATCGTGACACGATTTAAATTTACATCATTTAAAACAAGTGGAACAGATACGGTATACTTGTGTGGTCTTGAAGAAAATATTATGTAGTTAGTTGTCAACAGATTTATACACAATTTGTTTGCTAAAAGCCAAGTACTAATTGTTTGAAGTTCAATATTAAACATCGGAATAGCTTGTTATGGCTGTACACCAAACTTTATGCGAACTTTCTACTTTTAAATGTATGAAAACTATTTAACATTCCCTTTTAGCTTATTGTATTAAAAATTCACTTGGGTAAACATTTTAAAATGTCCATGCTTCTCCTGATAACTGAATGGAATGGATAGGGAACCAGTGCATAGCTTGACCAGTTTATACAGCTCGGAATGCCAAATGAACTATCTCGATTTCATTTACATGGAGATCAGTGGTTTTGATAAATACAGATTGATAGCATTACCACATGCTTCCTTGTGAGTCCCATTTGACAAATTCACAATTTTATCTTACGAACTATGCAAAGTGAGCCCTCTTTTGGTCATGCACGCAGCTCATAGACCAGTCTGAATACACCTTCACTGTGCACTCAAGAAGGCCCCCTTCAATGGTGGAATCATTGTGACAGCTATTGCTATAATTCGTCACGGGGAAGTTGCTTTGAACAAAACTAGCCAAATGCTCTTGCCATTGAAGGGGGCCCCAGACATTGTATTTAATTTGGTTTAACACTAACATTCGTTTGATACAAATTTAATATATATACAGTGTATTTTGACATGTTTGGTTAAGTTATGACAATTTAATTGCCCCTTTAGATTGGATTGATCCCCCGTCCAATGTTAAAGCAATGTTTGATTAACTTGTTTTACATTAATATGATTAACTTCTTTTGCATATAATACATGTATATATGAGAAAAATTAAAATTGTTATATTAAAAGCGGTCTCGTCAGATTCCCAAGACCACTCCTCCATTTGTGTTGCCTTTTGCGTTGGAGATATGTTGTATTCATTCTACAGTGTTTTTTTTTGTAAGGGGGGGGGGGGGGGCGATTTGGACTCATATGTGATAGCCCTTTTAGTATTGATGAATTATTAACTAACATGTGGAAGGTTATCTAAGAGACAGCTTAAAACTTGACTTGTTTAACTGGTACAAGGTACCACGCAGAACGAGTACACAAAGCTTTTAAATTGGACTCTTTAATTGGCTGTGCTATTAACAGTTTGTTGGGAAGAAGTAGTCACTGCAGGCTCAAACGCCGTGTATCACGTCTACCCCAATCAACTTGACCTTTATACGCCACTGTTAAATTTGTCCTTGAGATACTAGCACAAAGGTTGTTCTGTTTCTCTTTGGAGTAGCCTACGTCAATCGCTTTCAAGTCCAAATTCCACATTATTTTGTGTCTGCCTCGAAATAACATGGCTTCCAAAATGGCGTCCGTGACGTACGCAGTAATACTGCTGGGATTATGTGCTCGGATCTGCGACTGCTTACAGTCAGATGCGCACGGTAAGTCGAGGAGGATTATTACTGATTACTGGAGCACATTTTCCACATTAAAGATACACGAGTTGTATCCGAAACGGGATCCGAAAATGGTGTTAGTAAATTTATGAACTTGAGCACTGTCAGCGGGGTTGTACATCTCGTGAACTGACCCCTGCATTCACAGTCGACTGGGTACCCTTTGATGTCAATACAAAAGGCAATAATCACCATGCAAAGTACGTAGGCTGATTGTCAGCAGTGGGGTAAGGTGTTTTAAAATGCAGCATGTTGCGTACTGTGTGTAATGTACAAGGTAATTGAAAAACAAAATGTCATGAATTTTTGGTCCCAAGTGTCAAACTGAAGTCGAAAGGTAAACAATCAACATGATTATAATCGGAGCGTGAATTACTTTGCTTCGAGTAAAAAACCCACTGCAGACGCAATTTCCACACACTTTTCTAGAGAAATACATACCGAGCTGAAATTATGACAGACAATAATCTGCTTATTTGGCGAGATAGGACAGATCTATTCTAAGCTGCATTCGTTTTGTTATTTTTTTGGCATTTATTAAGTCTCCTCGCCATGCTCAAGCAGATTCAATGTAAACTTGGCAACTTTTTCGAATTTTGCTCGCACAAAACCGGTTCTTCCTTGCTTTTTTCTTAGCCAGAAAACCACCTCTTTTTAAGGCGGCCAAACTCCATTCCATTTAACACTTAAAATGTAGTGCCGACATGTATAATTACGCCCTTTCCTATTCAACACAAAAACCTTAAAGGATTTTAGATGCCTTTTCCTCTAGCGTTGGCGGCATTCCCTTTCCAACGGGTTGACATGAAAACCGTTTTCAAACAACCGGTTCATTCAGATATTAAAAAGAATGAAATTAAAGTTGTCTTTTCACAAGCCTATCATTTACTTGAGCACCAAAGAGTTATTACCAACTGCTATACATTAGGTTCGAGGCTAAAATTCGTTTTCATTTCAGCATTAGTGCATAATTGATTCGGTTTTGGAGAGAATTCTCAACCCGCCCAGGACCCCTGACGACGGGCAGAGCATACTGCCTGAAACGTTGATTGTTCAACAGGTTTGGATTAAAGGTATATGTTGCACCATATTGCAGCTATCCAAAAAAGTAACCCACCAAATAAGTCTTTTCTTAGTTTACAGATAAGTCACTAAACTCGCCTTGAAATTATTCCTTTTGGCATGCTGTCAAAAACCGACACAAAATAAACTAGAAATGTGTTTGTGGACAAACACTGAGCTGTTTCGACCGTTTTATTAATGACTGCCGTAAAGGAGTTTCATCCAGGTCGAATGAACATGTACATGCGTATTCTATACAAAAAGTGTCCATCCTATGTAAAATAAAAATATTTTTCATGACTTCAGGATGACGGCATACATATTTAAAAATTTTCTGTAACTATCTTCCACCTAACAAACTTTTTGCAAAATTTTTTTCGAATTAACCACATTCCATTGGTGAGATATGAGTAAAAGGTCCAAACATTGAATAATTCATATGAAATCACATGATGACGTCATCGTGACGTCACTGCAATTTTTGTCTACAACACTTCCTGGAATATCTGCATATCGAGATTGAACCCAATCGGACCTCAGGTTCTCTAGATATAGTGACTTAAACTATGCAGATTTAGGATGATGTCAAGTGACACGTGATGACGTCATGATGCCGTCATGATTCGACCTGAATCTTCAGATGGTGGTCTAAGTGTGTGCCAGGTTTGAAGTCGATCGGACCGTATTTTATACATTTTTTTGCAAAATTTGATTAAATATCAAAATTTGAAAAATTCATAAAAAATCAAATGATGACGTCATGATGATGTCACTTCAGATTTTGAATGCTGTTATCTTTACCTACCTACCCACCAAGTTTCATAACGATCGAACATACCCTTATATGTGAATCAAAAAATCACGTTTTTGATGACGTCATGATGACGTCACACATTTTACGAAATTTTGTGCATCTATCTATGACCTAACAAACCTGTTACAAAAAGAATTTCGAATTTACCACATTCCGTTCATGAGATATGAGTAAAAGGTCCAAAAATTGAATAATTTATATAAAATCACACGATGACGTCATCATGACGTCACTGCAATTTTCGTCTATAACACGTCCCGGAACACTTACATACCAAGTTTGAACCAAATCGGACTTCCGGTTCTGTAGATATAGGGCCTAAAAGTATGGTCCTTAAGGAGGACGTCACGTGAAACGTGATGACGTCATGATGACGAAAAGTTTCGGCATACATCTTCAGATGTTGGTCTAAGTGTGTGCCAGGTTTGAAGTCGATCGGATTTGAAAAAAGTCCAAAAGTGCCTGGTAGAACGAAAACACGTGTTATCCTATGGGAAAAAAAGTGGAAGAAAAAAAAAAAAAAAGAGAAAAAAAAAATAACAAAAACAAGAGCTGTTTCGGTGTGTACACCGAAACAGCTAATTAATTTCCAAAACCATTTCAACTGACACATTTTTGAAATTAGCGTTTGTAGTTGGTTTGTTATAAGGTTAACCCTAAAAGGGCAGGGGGCGAAATCCGCCCCCCCCCGGACTTTTTCCGCGATACCCATTAATTTTTTTTTTTGCAACCCGAGCTTTTATGACATTTTAGCCTCGAGCTTTGCGCATCTTTTGACACCACAAACATAAAAATTGGACGAGGGGTTGTCCCGCAGCGAATTTTTTTCCGGCGCTATGCGCCGGGAAAACTGAATTTTCCCATATACGTCGTGTACACAGACCAGAATTACCATTCATACATATGAATAATTAATTAGCCATAATTCCAAAACCCTTTAACCTTTGGTCATGAAATGTCTTGGGTATGTTTATGATTTACCGAGTTTCAAATTTCTCGTCACTCGATGGCCTAGATCTTATGGGGGGAGGGGGGGGGCGGAATCCGCCCCCCCCCCCGGCTGAGAGATGGTCAAAATAACCCGGCCCCTTTAGGATTAGTCCAAACATACTGAAATGTGTATCTTGTTGAGTCATTTCTTTGTTGTACCTAAAGTATTTGAGTTTGAACGTGTACTTTCAAAATGCTCCTTTTTTAACCAGAACGAATTTCTTGGGCTGACATTTGGACTTAATATCCCTTGCAGAAAATACTTCAATTTGCGACTGATCAACACACCTTGGAAATTCCTTATTTTTGAGTAAAATCAATATATTTATTTCGAAATAACCTTGTGGAGACGTGGTCACCTATAAAAAAATGCCCTGTTAAGACGTATGCAACCTTTAGTTTCCTATTGTGCACATGTCTCCAAAGGGTACCATGTAACACACACACGCGCCGTTGCTATTATACTTCGATACAGTTTGGGGCATTGCTTAGCTACAATCGATCTTAGGATTGTGCTACGAAAGGGCGCAACTCAAGATAAGGCTCGACAACATTTGAATAGAAACGAAGATCCGAAATATTGTGTTTTCCCCCCAAATACAGACGTGAATATCAAATATCAAATATTGAACTAACGTATTACGAACACCGTTATAGTGAGAGAACACGTAAATTATTGTTTGTGTTTCTCACACAGATTGGAGCCTCTATGTGACCAAAAATCCATGGGGCGACATCCTGGAGGGCAGTGACGTCACTTTCACATGCGCCATTGTCTCCAGCAACCCAGATATTTTTGTGTGGATTGAGTGGCAGCACCTTCTTTCTGAGGAAACCACCACTCTCATCGAACCGACATACGTAACGGGCAGCGACACTTTGACCCTTACGGGGTTGTCTGGGAACCAGGCCGGCAGTTACCGGTGTGTAGGAAGCACCTCCTGGTCACCAGCCTATTGGAATCCCACTACATTTTCTGGTTGGCGTGGTTTATCGCTTATCTGTGAGTACACACAAAACACTCATACACTCTACATGCCCGGTCTGATTATACACAAGTTATACACACCATTTGTCCTTATTTTGTTAGCAATCGGTAACACATTCGTGAACGGGTGGCTATTAAAAACAAAGAAATTAGCTTCATCTAGATTCATGTGGTGTACGTCATTGGTCCCTCGATCGTGTTTGTACTCAGTCTTAACTACAACTGGTGGACACAAACAAATTCACATTTAATTTGTGAAAGCAAGTATAAATTCTTTGTCTTAATTGAAAACATTTTTTTAAAAGTTAGTACGTCTTTGAGAACTGGGAATGATGTTCTCGAATTTCTTTCTTTATACCTTGCCAGATCGCCCCGTCATTATGAACAAAGATAGGACGTGGATCGGTGCAAACGACAACTGCACGACGACCTTAGAATGCATTGTCCGAAGCGATCCCCGCCCTGCAGTCACTTGGTACGGTCCAAACGGCGCCAATATAAACGAAGACACGGACCCCGACCGACTTTCACTTGAAGAAGATCTTTATTACGATTCTTCCTTCGTGTATAGATTACACAGTAAGCTGACAATCAATCCAGTGAATTCCAGCACTGATTATGGGATGTACAGGTGTAGGGCTGCCAACGGCATCGGTACATTTGTCGACCATGAAATCGAGTTGAAAGAAACAGGTACATTCAATTACAATGTTCCGTTGTCGGCATTTGCTATTGAAGTCTTGAAGATAGATGATTTAATAGATAGGGGCAATGAGGGTCCTATGCGGATTCACAAAGCAAAGTGAAACTGCACGAAAAGCTATCAAATAACAATCGCACATACCCTTTTTCAAGAAAACAAAACCGGTTGGATAAAAAAAGAGTTTTGATTCAAACATTGAGGAAATTGTTCAGTACTTTGTCAAAGATGTTGCTTTTGTGTACGTGTCAGAGGAGAATTTAAAGGAGCCGAAGTCTTTCACTTATATTCAAACTAATGAATCCAGAGCCGTATTTTCCGGGGCAAATTCGTCGCTGGCTGGCTTTTGCAAATTAGAAACACCCGGATGGAGGAAGGCTATACACCATTTCATAATAGGGTGCGCTCTTTTCCCCTTATCTTTTCCTTTCAACAATTAATTCATGACTCTTTAGAAAAGATGTGGACAATATTATTCATTTAGACAAGTGGCCTTTACTCATCTTTTTGTATAGATTTTCAGTCGAAAACGACGTCTTTGTTCCTCAACGGATCTTTCCTTTTTATATACAATTTAAAATTTGTTTTTCAGGACCGCCTGAGGCGCCAAAGGACCTCAAAATATCTAACGACGGCGCACTAACTGAGGATACCATCGTGTTCAACTGGGAGCCAGGCTATGACGGGGGTGAGGAATTGGAGTCCTATTACATGAACATTCGCGAGATTCCGGGAGATTTCAATGCATCGAACTGGATCCAACTTGGCCCACGGGAGCGGTATTGGGCGTATACTGACCTCCAGCCGGACACTCTTTACCAAATAGCAGGGTATGCCAGGAACATACTCGGCCCCAGTCCAAACACGACTCTGGACGTCCGCACGACGCGTAAGTATCGATACCAATGTTGCCGTTATGCGTTCGATCTTGATGGATGAATTGACTCACGCTAATCAGGCCCTTAGTCAATTTTCAAGAATTTCAGTCAGTAATTGCTTCGTTGCAGGATTTAAAACCGAGTATTTGGTTCGGAATGATTTAGAATAGCACACAAACGCCTGATAATGGTCGTTTTAGTTCTTTTGTTTAGTGGGAAAGACGATGACGAAAGAACGATTGTTGGTATAACTTAACCACACCTACGACACCGGAATTGTGTTTTAACTCAAATTAATTTGTGGGCTTCATTCGACAATGTTTCAGTCTTTACATTTCCCCCTTTTCTTTTTTTTGTTATATTTTAGCCACTTCACCGAGTGACTTAGGTAAGTTTTTTCAACGTATCTCATTCACCTGTTTTGATTTGTTTTTAGCTGTACTTGCCCAAACACCCTTTGTCTTCCTAAACCTCCTCGTCCGTCCTCTATCCTTTATTCTCCCTCCTCCATTCTTCATCCTCCACCTGTCATTCTCCATTTTCGATTCTCCATCCTCTGTTTTCCATTCTCCACCCGCCATCCTCCATCCTCCATCCTCCAACCTCCATCCTCCATCCTCAATCCTTCATCTTCCATTCTCCATCCTCCATCTTCAATCCTTCCCCCTCCATCCTCCAGCCTCCAGCCTCTATCCTCAATCCTTCATCCTCCATCCTCCATCCTCCATCTTCCAGCCTCTATCCTCCATCCTCCATCCTCCAGCCTCCATCCTTCATCCTCCATCCTCCATCCTCCATCCACAATCGTCCATACTCTATCCTCCATCCTTCATCCTTCATCCTCCATCCTCCATCCTCCATCCTCGATCCTCCATCCTCCAACCTCCATCCTCCAACCTCCATCCTCCATCCTCCATCCTCCAACCTCCATCCTCCAGCCTCCATCCTCCAGCCTCCATCCTTCATCTTCCATCCTCCATCCTCCATCCTCCATCCTCAATCCTTCATCCTCAATCCTCCATCCTTCATCCTTCATCCTCCATCCTCCATCCTCCATCCTCCATCCTCCATCCTCCAACCTCCATCCTCCATCCTCCATCCTCCATCCTCCATCCTCCATCCTCCATCCTCTATCCTCCATCCTCCATCCTCCATCCTCCATCCTCCATCCTCCATCCTCCATCCTCCATCCTCCATCCTCCATCCTCCATCCTCCATCCTCCATCCTCCATCCTCCATCCTCCATCCTCCATTCTCCATCCTCCATCCTCCATCCTCCATCCTCCATCCTCCATCCTCCATCCTCAAACCTCCATCCTCCATCCTCCATCCTCCATCCTCCATCCTCCATCCTCCATCCTCCATCCTCCATCCACCATCCTCCAACCTCCATCCTCCATCCTCCATCCTCCATCCTCCATCCTCCATCCTCCATCCTCCATCCTCCATCCTCCATCCTCCATCCTCCATCCTTCATCCTTCATCCTCCATCCTCCATCCTTCATCCTCCATCCTCCATCCTCCATCCTCCATCCTCCATCCTCCATCTTCCATCCTCCATCCTCCATCCTCCAACCTCCATCCTCCATCCTCCATCCTCCATCCTCCATCCTCCATCCTCCAACCTCCATCCTTCATCCTTCATCCTCCATCCTCCATCCTCAATCCTCCATCCTCCATCCTCCATACCCCATCCACCATCCTCCAGCCTCCATCCTTCATCCTCCATCCTCCATCCTCCATCCACAATCCTCCATACTCTATCCTCCATCCTCCAACCTCCATCCTCCATCCTCCATCCTCCATCCTCCATCCTCCATTCTCCATCCTTCATCCTCCATCCTCCATCCTCCTTCATCCTCCATCTTCCTTCATCCTCCATCCTCCATCCTCCAACCTCCACCCTCCATCCTCGATCCTCCATCCTCCATCCTTCATCCTTCATCCTCCATCCTCCATCCTCCATCTTCCATCCTTCATCCTTCATCCTCCATCCTCCATCCTCCATCCACAATCCTCCATACTCTATCCTCCATCCTCCATCCCTCATCCTTCATCCTCCATCCTCCATTCTCCATCCTTCATCCTCCACCACACCTACGACACCGGAATTGTGTTTTAACTCAAATTAATTTGTGGGCTTCATTCGACAATGTTTCAGTCTTTACATTTCCCCCTTTTCTTTTTTTTGTTATATTTTAGCCACTTCACCGAGTGACTTAGGTAAGTTTTTTCAACGTATCTCATTCACCTGTTTTGATTTGTTTTTAGCTGTACTTGCCCAAACACCCTTTGTCTTCCTAAACCTCCTCGTCCGTCCTCTATCCTTTATTCTCCCTCCTCCATTCTTCATCCTCCACCTGTCATTCTCCATTTTCGATTCTCCATCCTCTGTTTTCCATTCTCCACCCGCCATCCTCCATCCTCCATCCTCCAACCTCCATCCTCCATCCTCAATCCTTCATCTTCCATTCTCCATCCTCCATCTTCAATCCTTCCCCCTCCATCCTCCAGCCTCCAGCCTCTATCCTCAATCCTTCATCCTCCATCCTCCATCCTCCATCTTCCAGCCTCTATCCTCCATCCTCCATCCTCCAGCCTCCATCCTTCATCCTCCATCCTCCATCCTCCATCCACAATCGTCCATACTCTATCCTCCATCCTTCATCCTTCATCCTCCATCCTCCATCCTCCATCCTCGATCCTCCATCCTCCAACCTCCATCCTCCAACCTCCATCCTCCATCCTCCATCCTCCAACCTCCATCCTCCATCCTCCATCCTCCAGCCTCCATCCTTCATCTTCCATCCTCCATCCTCCATCCTCCATCCTCAATCCTTCATCCTCAATCCTCCATCCTTCATCCTTCATCCTCCATCCTCCATCCTCCATCCTCCATCCTCCATCCTCCAACCTCCATCCTCCATCCTCCATCCTCCATCCTCCATCCTCCATCCTCCATCCTCTATCCTCCATCCTCCATCCTCCATCCTCCATCCTCCATCCTCCATCCTCCATCCTCCATCCTCCATCCTCCATCCTCCATCCTCCATCCTCCATCCTCCATCCTCCATCCTCCATCCTCCATTCTCCATCCTCCATCCTCCATCCTCCATCCTCCATCCTCCATCCTCCATCCTCAAACCTCCATCCTCCATCCTCCATCCTCCATCCTCCATCCTCCATCCTCCATCCTCCATCCTCCATCCACCATCCTCCAACCTCCATCCTCCATCCTCCATCCTCCATCCTCCATCCTCCATCCTCCATCCTCCATCCTCCATCCTCCATCCTCCATCCTCCATCCTTCATCCTTCATCCTCCATCCTCCATCCTTCATCCTCCATCCTCCATCCTCCATCCTCCATCCTCCATCCTCCATCTTCCATCCTCCATCCTCCATCCTCCAACCTCCATCCTCCATCCTCCATCCTCCATCCTCCATCCTCCATCCTCCAACCTCCATCCTTCATCCTTCATCCTCCATCCTCCATCCTCAATCCTCCATCCTCCATCCTCCATACCCCATCCACCATCCTCCAGCCTCCATCCTTCATCCTCCATCCTCCATCCTCCATCCACAATCCTCCATACTCTATCCTCCATCCTCCAACCTCCATCCTCCATCCTCCATCCTCCATCCTCCATCCTCCATTCTCCATCCTTCATCCTCCATCCTCCATCCTCCTTCATCCTCCATCTTCCTTCATCCTCCATCCTCCATCCTCCAACCTCCACCCTCCATCCTCGATCCTCCATCCTCCATCCTTCATCCTTCATCCTCCATCCTCCATCCTCCATCTTCCATCCTTCATCCTTCATCCTCCATCCTCCATCCTCCATCCACAATCCTCCATACTCTATCCTCCATCCTCCATCCCTCATCCTTCATCCTCCATCCTCCATTCTCCATCCTTCATCCTCCATCCTCCATCCTCCATCCTCCATCCTCCATCCTCCATCCTCCATCCTTCATCCTTCATCCTCCATCCTCCACCCTCCATCCTCCATCCTCCATCCTCCATCCTCCATCCTTCATCCTTCATCCTTCATCCTTCATCCTCCATCCTCCATCCTCCATCCTCAATCCTCCATCCTCCATCCTCCCTCCCTCCTCCATCCTCCATCCTCCATCCTCCATCCTCCATCCTCCTTCCTCCATCCTTCATCCTTCATCCTCCATCCTCCATTCTCCATCCTCCACCTCCATCCTCCATCCTCCATCCTCCATCCTCCATCCTCCATCCTCCATCCTCCATCCTCCATCCTCCATCCTCCATCCTCCATCCTCCATCCTCCATCCTCCATTCTCCATCCTCCATCCTCCATCCTCCATCCTCCATCCTCCATCCTCAAACCTCCATCCTCCATCCTCCATCCTCCATCCTCCATCCTCCATCCTCCATCCTCCATCCTCCATCCTCCATCCTCCATCCTCCAACCTCCATCCTCCATCCTCCATCCTCCATCCTCCATCCTCCATCCTCCATCCTCCATCCTCCATCCTCCATCCTCCATCCTCCATCCTCTATCCTCCATCCTCCATCCTCAAACCTCAAACCTCCATCCTCCATCCTCCATCCTCCATCCTCCATCCTCCATCCTCCATCCTCCATCCTCCATCCTCCAACCTCCATCCTCCATCCTCCATCCTCCATCCTCCATCCTCCATCCTCCATCCTCCATCCTCCATCCTCCATCCTCCATCCTCCATCCTCCATCCTTCATCCTTCATCCTTCATCCTCCATCCTCCATTCTTCATCCTCCATCCTCCATCCTCCATCCTCCATCCTCCATCCTCCATCTTCCATCCTTCATCCTTCATCCTCCATCCTCCATCCTCAATCCTCCATCCTCCATCCTCCATACCCCATCCACCATCCTCCAGCCTCCATCCTTCATCCTCCATCCTCCATCCTCCATCCACAATCCTCCATACTCTATCCTCCATCCTCCAACCTCCATCCTCCATCCTCCATCCTCCATCCTCCATCCTCCATTCTCCATCCTTCATCCTCCATCCTCCATCCTCCATCCTCCATCCTCCAACCTCCATCCTCCATCCACCATCCTCCATCCTCCATCCTCCATCCTCCATCCTCCATCCACAATCCTCCATACTCTATCCTCCATCTTCCATCCTCCATCCTCCATTCTCCATCCTTCATCCTCCATTCTCCATCCTCCACCTCCATCCTCCATCCTCCAACCTCCATCCTCCATCCACCATCCTCCATCCTCCATCCTCCATCCTCCATCCACGATCCTCCATACTCTTTCCTCCATCCTCCATCCTCCATCCTCCATCCTCCAACCTCCATCCTTCATCCTTCATCCTTCATCCTTCATCCTCCATTCTCCATCCTCCATCCTCCATCCTCCATCCT